TCCACCTGGCAACTGAAAAGCCGCGTGTTTTCACAGGCGATGGGTACTCTCGCACTGAAGCCTCGGAAAAGGGTACTTCGGCGTTCCACACTCCTCTCAGGCAACGCATTGTGCTAAACAACAAAACGGGTATACTCACACTCCCTACTCGCAAGGATGAACTCAGTGTTGCGTAGTCATCCCTGTGCCTCAGCGTCCAATCCAAGTCTAAATCCATACGAGAAACCAGGCCGTGTAGGGCCCCCTTTTCCATAAATTCAAGCCGTCCTCGTTGCAAGCGCAGATGAGAGACGGTTTTCTTGAAGCATGTAAAAAAACGCAGATCCACCGTTGAGAGATTCAGGGTGAGTTTGCACTCATCGCGCAGTGTTAAGCATAAAGCACCGCGATGAAAAGAGAATAAAATTTTTTGCACCGTTTTCTTCTCCACCTCCGCCTGAGCGCCGGTCGCATTTGACTCGCCGCTGAAATCCTCTCCAATGCAGTTGTCGCACACAAACGAGGCACATTCGTCCTCAACAGTGATGGCATGCTGAAAAAAAGAAGAAAAGTGGCATCGGCGAAAGCACACATGGGTCCCACTGCAGACCACCATGTGTATTCCTGAGGTGCAGGAAAGAAAGGTGCAGTCTTCCACCAAAACCATTTCGCCTGGAGAGTCAAAAAACCACGGACCAGTCCGGTCCAAATTATAATGCCCACCTCGTAGCAAAGTGCAGTTCACCACATTCCGCCTTTGAATTGAATTCATCATGTGCCGAAGTTCCATCCATAATCCCAACAATTCTTTCACGACATCCGCTTCAGAAACCCCTTTGAGATGCACGTTCCAATTCTTCACCACTGCGTGAGTGTACTTCTCACAGGCTACAACTGATGTGTCGCTATCCATGTCGCAATCACTAAATACTCCACTTAATTCCTCGGGAAGGGGAGCAGATTGCTGGGCATATTTCACCCCCTCAACCTCCAGCCGGATCATATCGCCCACATTCAATTTAATCGAAGGAGCAGTGCATTCAGCAGATGAGCGTTTTACCGCGTGTACAGTGTCATCCCAAAAGTCCTCTACAGCAATGGGTAGCGTGGCTGTGAAGGAAGAAACAGTGGCGCAGAGACCAACGGACATAAATCGGTGGTGAAACACTTCCACCTCAAGATGGGGCATACTTATATTCGCTAAAAGCTTTTCACAAACGTTGATCAACGTCAATGGTGATGCTTCCCGTGGCTCAAGAAGAAGTTCACCAAAACTCACAAGTGGCGCACCCGCACCACCATTTATTGAGGGCATATTCACTCGGCACATTAAAGCTTCATCTCCGCCAAACTTAAGTGCACACGAAGAAGCGTACATGACGAAGGCCAAATTGCTAAAACCACTAAAAAACAGTCGGTATGCTTCTGTAGGCACAACCTTGTTCACAAAAAAAGTGGCGTAATCTTTTATCAAACTTCCCAACAAATCCAATTCCAAAAAAATGAGTCGTTGCATACAAACCTCCGCAAGACACACTGAGACCTGCAAAGAGGACGCAAGATACGGTCGTGCGGTTGTTGGAATTGAATTTAACTGGCGGCAGTAAAAGCACTTTATTGGGGCAAATGTCAGAGCATCCAAGAACCGAAGCGTTTCAGCGGAGCAGTACGTCGCATCGCCATATACATGGAATTGCATAGCATCAATATGCAATAAATTTCTTGTGGAAGACGCCTTCCATACTGATTCCAGCACCCCTATCGACACATTCACACGTGAAGCGTCACTTGTTGAACTTGTTTTTGAGTATAAAATGCCGCTAGGACACGTCACCGTCAATACACCTCCTTCCACATAATCTGTTGAAAACTCAAACGATGATATGTTCGCATGCACAGAAGAAACCCCATACGTTTGTGCCCCTCTCCACATATCCATAGTTCCCAGCTGCATACGGAGATTTAA